ATGGCCCTCCGTTTCAGGCTGAAAACTCTGGGTCTGAAAAGACCCAGAAATAGGCTGAAACGGGGTAGGGCCTGCAGGCCCTCGTTTTTCAGCTTTCAGGCTGAAACGACCGGGGCCTGTAAGCCCTAAGTTTTAGGCTTTTAGGCTGAATGTCCGAGACGGGCCCTGCAGGGCCCGTGTGGCTACGCAGTATGCCACAACTGCACTCGCCGAGATCTTCCCAAATCCGCAAAGGAAACTTTGAACAGAGAAGTTTCGTTCGGGGGGTTGGGGGGTTTCGGGGGGTTATGGTGAGGGTGTTAGTGGTGGGGTTTCAGCAAGCACGGGCTTCAGCAGACATTGATAACAACGTACCTGGCTTTCTGCAAATGTTAACCTTCCGCCCAAAAACTTTGAAAACGGGGCTGGGGGCGTTAGTGGCAGGGTAGGGACAGTACATCCCACCCAAAAACTTTGAAAAGGGGGGTAGGGCTGTTAGCGTTAGGGGGTGCTTGTCGCTGCTGTCTGGTCCAAGTTGCCCTCGATACTGGTAGGGTAATGGTCCTGAGTGCTGGTCACACTGAGGTAGGATAGCAGGGATAGGGGGCGTGGGGAAGGGCAGGGAAGGTGGCCTATCCTGTTAGGACAACCACCGGCTGCTGCTGCCAGCAACACTGTGGGTCTAGTCCTTGGCCTCTACAACCCCCTGACCTTTTGGGAAAAAAAAAAAAAAAAAAAAAAAGAATGCGCTACGGCCAACTGGGGGGGAACCGGGCCGGTTCCGGTTGGGGGGGGCGGCCCCGGTCCTACCGCGTTTACGGCACTGAGAAAAGTAGTAAAACTTCAAATTTTAAACCTAGTAAGAAAGTTTCGAATTTCAAAAGACATTTCTGCTGTGGTGCTGGAAACTGAGTCTCGCGTCCCAGAATGAAGGATTTTTTTAACTTTTTTTTTAGTTGGGGGGAACTTCAGTGCCCACCGCTCTCAACGACTTGCTGGTGGAAGAGGACAAGGATTGATGCTGCCCTGAAAAGAATGGAGCCTCCCAGAATGAAGGATTTTTTTTACTTTTTTTTTAGTTGGAGGGAACTTCAGTGCCCACCGCTCTCAATGCTACTTCACCAAGGATTGATGCTTCCCTGAAAAGAATGGAGCGTCCCAGAATGAAGGATTTTTTTTTACTTTTTTTTTAGTTGGAGGGAACTTCGGTGCCCACCGCTCTCAATGCTACTTCACCAAGGTGTGTTGCTTTTTTTTTAATAATTGGATCAGACTGGTGCTGGCTGAAACATGTCGGGAGTAGCCAGTAGCAAGCCTAGTGGTGCAGCATCGTTTTTGCTAGTTGTTCAGGCGGCGGCGTTTTTGCTAGTTGTTCATGCTCCAGTGAGACTTATTGTCTTATCTTTCGAATACTGACGACCTTGACTCTTTTTGCGTTGTATTCACGAGTGCTTCTCTGGGCATGAGCCGAGTTTGCCTAATCCCTGGTCAGGTAGCTTTGTCGTTCAAACCGATGAATGCAATGTTGTCCATTGGTCTATCCTCGTGATTGCCATTCTGCTCAACTTCCAGGACAAGATACTGCTCACATGGATTCGTTTTTTTTTAACTACTTTCTTAAAGTTTCTTTTTTTTTTCTTCTTCTTTTTTTTTTTTTTTTTTTAAGAAGGGGATAGCTCCTCCCCAAGTGGGGAGGCGAAGTGCTGTCAGAACATAGTACTGAATCTTAAAATCTCGCTCCCCAGGTGGGGAGGCGAAGCTCTGTCAAAATTCTGCCAATCTTTTTTCCACAACTCACGTAAAACTCTCATTTTTGTGCTCTCAGCAGCTTTCAAAGTCCTTGCTTGACTCTCACGCTCCCCAGGTGGGGAGCCGAATTGCTGTCAATTTTTTTTCACTTTTTGCTTCTGTAACCACCTCTCCCGTACGGAACATACTTTCGCCAGACAGCGAGGTAAAGCTCCGACAAAATCCTCCAAACCACACCACCCGCTAATCCGTTCACAAGCTCTCCCAACAGAGACACGAAGCCCAGACGACTCCCTCATCGATCTTCACGATTGACATTTACAACAGCCCCCTTCACTAGTCATCCTAATCCTAATTGTGCTCTACTACCCGCCAACTGAGGAGATGAAACCAACACCGTTTGGTCTTCTCACACTCCACTTCCAAGCTTCTGAGACCCGGCGTTCCAACCAGTATGTCGACAGCTCACCTCACATCAATGGCATCTGCCTCATCAGCAAGCGCTGCCTCAGGCTCAGGCTCAGCCTCAGATAGTGCTTCAGCCCCTGGCCCAACGACAGGCGTGACTACAAGTCTCAAAAGGTCACGTAACATCAACGACCAGGACCCAAGCCAAGAGGTTCTCAATCTCATGATAAAGGAAACACGAGTCAAACCAGTGATCACCAAAAAAGTGGTAAAGATCAACAAGGATGAAGAATCAGAGGTCGAAGTCTGGGTATATCCAAAGGAACACCTGCCCGTGTTAGATAAATTTTACGAAAAGCACGCCGTAGTCTGCTCCTTCCCAGCAAAATTGAAACAACTGCCACCTACAGAGAAAAGGAACAGGGTCCGTGACGCCCTCCAGAACATGGAGGACCTGCGGGACTCGATTCCCAAGATTGCATTACAACAGAGAGGGAAAAATGCAGTGACAGTGCTATGTGCAGATACAGACTACGCAGCCTACCTCCTCTCAGTACAGGCCCTATACTGCGAAGGATCGGTGGTATCCATCTCCAAATGGATACCCAACAGGGCAGCAACACAAGGCACCTCGAGACGTCGGCAGACACTGATGTACAAACACTTCTGGATCCAGTTTGACAACCTGTCCGACGAAGTCCACCAGCTGGTGGAGGATAGGTTGAAAGAAACCTACCCACAATATCCTTTGGTCGAATGGGTTTCCTCGGCTCCAGGATTCCTGGCCCCCGGCACCAACTCAAGAATAGCATGTCTCGAGCTCAAAGGGAGTAACCCACCCGAACTGCCAGACAAATGGTTTTTCAGAGCAGATCAAAAGATCTAAACAGTCTACATATCCACGCAGGGGAACCCCATGTGCTTCAGATGCAGGATCCAACGACCCAGCCCACGCAGGCTGGGTTTTAGATGATCTCAAAGACAGTCCAGCATGGATATGGACACTAGCAGAGGCAAAACCAGCATGCAAACCTGACGTCTTCCCCCCCACAGAAGTAGATGGCAAAACAGGGGAGGCAAAAGGAACGACAGAGCCACACACAGATACGAAAATGCAGCTCTGGGCAACGCGGACCTGCTAGAACAGACTATGCACAAAAGGCAGATTCTCAGCAATGTGCACAACATAAGACGAGAGGCAGAAAAATCTTACCTCGAAATCCTACAGACCAGAAGAGATCTAGAACCAAAAAACACAATTTGGGGCAAAATGAACGACTCGGGTCCAGCGAAAAGAAAGAACAAGAATGAGGAGGACGATCCCAAGGAACAGGTAAGACTCAAGGCACAAAGAAGCTCAGAGACAACAGCACATCAATCACAAGCAGGAAAAGCGAAATGCACCTGGACATAGCACCACCAGCAATAACAGCAAACTCCAGCCAAACCAAAATGCCAGAAGAGTACTCAAACAGCACCTTGGAATGGCTGGACGAATACATTGAATCGCTGAAGGTACGTAGAGATGTAGACCTGGAAATCAGGCTGGCACATGCCAGGCATATCAGTATCTTGAAGAAAGAGTCTAATGCAATTGCAAATGCCACAGGTGGATTCCCAACTTCCCCTAACCGCTACGACGCACTGCCAACAGAGAACACCTCTGAATTTTTAGCCCTCCGGTATGCTGAGCTGCACAGAGATGCAACGGAAACAGATTCCTCCCCAGGAACCCCACACACAGCACGATCAACAAGTGAAAATCCGATTGAGTGACCCAACTCGTACCTGCCGGATGACAGTGCAGACCAGGTCCCAAGCGAAGAGGGACCACCAAAGATCAACAACACCAAGGACCAAAACTCAGAGGAAACGACATGATCTCACAAGCAAACAATCTGCTCAAGCAAAAGAACAGCCTGAAGAAGGAAAAGAGAAGACAGATCGCCATCCTTGAGAGGCAAACAAGTTACCTGCAGGAGCAGAACCTGGAGCTAGGAGCAGATTCCCACTCCCTCAACAAGATAGCACATAAAAACCCTCAAAATCTGACAGTGGCAGCCACACTTGACGCACGCACCCTCTCCCCCACAGTCCCATACTTGCCCTTCCGATACAACACAGACAAAAAGGAATGACAGATTGCAGCCCGACACTCGTTGAACATTATCACAGCTCAAGACGCACACAAACGTCCCAGCTTTGCAAGGGCAAACATCTCAGATGATCGCCCCGTGGCCATGAAAGTGATCGGGCAGGACGGCCTGGACGTGTACTGGGAGAACGACAGCGTGGAAAGCCACTACAGCGACCTAAGACCAGTGCTGGTTGCAAGCGCAACTGAGGGAGGGCCTGACATGGAAACCCTGGGAGATGATCAGTGAAATCTCTTACTCACTGATGGGTCACAAGGACGAAGTCGACAGACTCGCCTTCAGCACAACCGCCTTCATGAGGGAGGAATGGCTGGGCAAGGATGAGGACGAGACGCTGGAAAAGTTGAAGAAGGAAAAGGAGATGAAGGAAGAGAAGAGAAAGGGGAAGGAAGAGATAGCGAAAAGGACCCCCAACCCCGCCACCTGAGTCAATCAGTAGTCCCACATCCAAGCTAACCGTTACAAACAGTAATGGATGAACATCCCAACGACCAACTTGATAGTGGGACAAACAACAACGCAAAAAGATTCGGACCCACCACTGAAGCTGACACTCTCAAGGAAACCAGAAAACAACCCGAACTCACCTGCGTATCATGGAATATCAACGGCCTGGCCGCCATACTAGACAACCCAATGAAATGGAGGAACCTCACTGAAACCATAGGTTGGTTCAGTCCCAAACCCCCCAAACATAACATGCCTCCAAGAAACACACCTAACCAACAGCAGCGAACACAACAAACTACAATTAGCCCTCATCAGAAAACTAACCTACGTCAAAACAACCTTTTGGTCCAAAGTTGCAGACAATGGATCAGCAAGAATTGTCATCCTCCTACATCAAAAATCTCCAGCCAGTGAAGCATTAAAAATACATAATGTTAATCAAGACAATACCTCAGGTAGATGGATCAAACTTGACATCAATTTCGAGGAAGAAGAAATATCCGTCATAGGCATATATGGCCCGAACACACCACAAGATAAAACCTCATTCCTACTTTCAATCGAACAACTCATTCCCACACTAACACCCACTATCATCATGGGAGATTGGAACTCGGTTCAGAACCCCAATCTAGATAAAATATCTCACTCCCAAGACCCCACACCCAAACTAACAGCGCAGAACTAAACGAATTCATGATTAGGAAAAACCTACTGGATCCATACCGCCTCCTATACCCTTAAATCAAGAGATACTCCTGCATCAGAAAAACCTCACAGGGCAGAACATCCTTCTCCAGGATCAACTTCTTCCTAGCCTCACACTCATTAATAGGAATCATACAAGATTGTACCATTCACAACAACCCATACCATAAAGGATTAGACCACAAAGCCATAACTCTAGCCATCAGACTCACTAAAGAGGGATACACAGGCCAGCAAAGCATTCCAATCAGAGCTACAAACCATACTACCCTCACAAACACACTTACTACCCAACGAGGACATATTCACGAAGTTCCCACAAATCATAAAAAACATTAGCACAAGGACAACACAATTATCCAGAAGACTAGCCTCACAAAGAAAGGAAAGGGAAGAGACCCTAAGAAATGCAGTAGAAATAGCAGAAATAAACCTACAAAAGCTCCCGCATTCAGAATTCTATGCGGAACTATTTGATAAATCTAAGGAAGAATTAGCCGAATGGACTAAACTCAAGCTCCACAACCTCCAATTAAGGGTCAGGGTGAAAGACTACAAAAATTCCAAAATAGAATGCCTACACGACGAGAACGGTAACCCAACCACAGAAACCACGAAACTGGTCAACATTGCAACCACCTTCTACAAAGAACTCTACACCTCCAAAACACCAGTAGGCGGGAACAGCACAACGAATAGTGCAAGAGAAAAATTCTTAACCCACCTAGACCAATCCCTCTCAACTGAAACAGCCAAATCTTTAGAAGAACCCATATCTTTAGAAAAACTATACAAAGCCCTTATCGACCTCAAACCCAACAAGGCCCCAGGTAGAGATGGACTATCTAAGGAATTTGGATTGCAGGCTGGCACATCCTAGGACCACTCCTCCTCAGATTCCTCACCAAAGCATGGGAAGAAGAATCACTAGGCCTAGACTTGAGTACAGAGGTGGTAACACTCCTATACAAAAAGGGCGATAGAGAGGACATCAAAAACTACAGACCTATTTTCCTACTAAATGTAGCATACAAGATCCTAGCTAAACTTCTAGCCACCAGAATAAACAGAGTCACAAAAGGATGTTTTCATCTAGACTAAACAGGGTTCATACCAGGGAAACGCCTTCTCAACAATGTAATGTCTCTGTGTGAATCAACACGGATAATCAATAAAAAACGAATCACAGCAGCCATCCTATTTTTCAACTTTGAAAAAGCATATGACCAAGTAAGCTGGGACTTTCTGCAGGCAAGCATGGGAAAAATGGGAGTAGGCCTAGTCTTTTGAAAATGGGTGAGAATACTCTACAACGACGCACAAGGGATTGTCCAAGTCAACGGTTTCCTTTCGAACCCCTACCCAATAACAAGGTCAGTGAGACAAGGGGACCCATTGGCAGCACCAATCTTCCTCTTTGTTATGGAGGCCATCGCTGCCTTCCTGAGTAAGGATAGATCCATCGAGAGGATAGAAAACATCATGGACGAATGAGGTCAACCGCTCCACATCCCTACTACTCTCCTATCCGCTGATGATCTTACGGTACTTATCAGGGCTTCAAACTCATCTTTTCAGGCTCTGACAAGAGCAATGCAACCATTCCAACTAACCTCAGAAATGAAAGTCAACTGGTCCAAATTTCCAAAACAATAGGATGGTGGACTGCAGAAACTCCTCCCCCTATAGAGATAACCCCGGCAGGACTACAATGGGCAGATCCATATTCACCAATTAGATTCCTAGGCATCAACCTCAACCTTAAAGGATGCCACCATATATCAGCAACAACACTCTTGTCTTCAATGGTGAATAGAATGCGTACCTGGAAAACCACACATGCTTTCCTACTAGGCAGGGTACTAGCACTAAACAACTCGATCTTAGCAATGATGTGGTATTCCACCTCCATTTGGTTCCCAGCGGCTGACTTTCAAAGCCAGCTGAGAAAAAAAGCAGCAGCATTCCTATGGACAGGTAACCCGGACAAGCCACAC